TTTTTTTTTTCTTACAATTTTATTTATTAGTTTGACAGAGAGAGAGCACAAGTAGAGGGAGTGGGAGAGGGAGAAGCAGGCTTCCGGTAGAGCAGGGAGCCCGATGTGGGGCTTGATCTCAGGACCCTGGGATCATGACCTGAGCCAGAGGCAGATGCTTAACAACTGAGCCACCCAGGTGCCCCTAGAATCCATGGTCTTACCTTGTGTCCTACTCGTCTCCACTTCTTTGATGGAAATCCTGTTGTTGTTGTGTGCTTAGCACTTTGCTGGGCACATGGAACTGTTTGTAAGTAACTCGGCAAGTAACTTGGCATCTAATTGGTTGAACATTTTGTCAAGGAGGAAAAATTTTTTTAAAAAGATTTTACTTATTTGAAAGAGAGAGAGGGAGAGAGAGAGAAAGAGAGAGAGAGAGATTGTGCACAAGTGGTGGGCGGGGAGGGGAGGGGGCAGAAGCAGAAGCAGACTCCCCTCCAAGGGGGGAGTGGGAAGAAGGGCTTGATTTGGGGACTCCAGGATCGTGACCTAAGCCCAAAGCAGATGCCCAACCGACTGAGCCACTTAGGCAGCCGGGGAACCTTTTTGATAGAAAAAAATGCCGTATGCACGAGGACAGGTAGTTGGTTCCCAGACCCATGCAGATCTGCCCCAGTGTGTTCCTGGTAGCTTTCATGGGGCCTTTTGGGAATGGGGTCAAAGAGCAAGGCACCTAGTGGGTCTGACTTTCAGGCAAATGTTGGTAGCTGCTGAGGCCATAATGGGAACAGGCTGGCTTTGGGGTTTACTGGGCCTGTGACTGACACGTGTGTCCGTCACTAGAGATAGCACGACGTGAAGGTCGCAGTAGCCTGTCTATAGGTCTGATAGACGAATGACTTAGTACTCGAGCTTTCTTTCTACATAGACTTGGATGGGTCATATTTTTCCCCCAGTGCTTTGAGGCGAATTCCCTTATGTTAACACTTTTAAATTATAACACGCCAACAAACATGACAGGAATCAAGAAACACGGATGATTCCCGAGAGATCTGGTTTTCCGACTTGTGTTGATGATTTGGAGTGCACAGGAGAAACTGGCGAACTGTTTCAAGGTGAACTTCTTGGAGAGGATGTGATTAAGTATGTTTTCCATGATCAGCTCTGTGAAGCCACTCGGGCGTGCCAGGCGCGGTGCTGGGCAGCCGGGACACAAAGCTGCGTAAGGAACCCTGTTCCTGCCCCTTGAGAATCCCGCCTCCTAATGGGACACACAGGGTGGGCTGGATTTCAGTTCCCACCTGCCGCCTGGACCGGTGACCTCCGTGCTGTGTATGCCCCACCCCATTCCATGGGGCAGTCGAAGGCTTTGGGTTATGTCCTTTTCCTCCCGTGGGAGAGGAATCGTGGAGAAGGGAGGGCATCCACACGGGGTCTGGCGTGGTGAGCAGCGCCGCGTGGAAGACTCACTCTGCCTTGTCTCCCTCCCCACAGAGATCCCTCAGTGCGCTGGCTGCAACCAGCACATCCTGGACAAGTTCATCCTGAAGGTCCTTGACCGACACTGGCACAGCTCTTGCCTCAAGTGTGCAGACTGCCAGATGCCGCTGGCCGACAGGTGCTTCTCCAGGGCGGGGAGCGTCTACTGCAAGGAAGACTTCTTCAAGTAAGTCCGAACCCCGGAACCCCGGAGGGGGGGGCTCTGGTCTGTCTCTGGCTCTCCCCTGGGAGTGAGGGGGCAGGAGCTGGTGGCAGAGGGTGTGAGTGCCATTTCTGCTCTGGAGGGGGGTCATTAGGGGGACAGACCAAGGATTCCCATAAATCCTGCCTCAGGACACGAGCCCTCTCATTGCTGCCACTTTCCGAGTAGGTGCTTGGAGGTTCACCCCTGAATCTAGAGGAATCTCGTGATTGCTAAAGGGCCCCGGAGGCTTGGAAGCCTTGCTCCTGGTCCGGGTCCAGCCAGGCTCTGTCGGTGTCACCGCTATCGATGAGAACGTGAGGAAGAGGCAGTTTCATGGGGTGGTAAAGTGCCCAGAGCACGATGGGGTTTAAAGCACTTACTAGCTGTGGGCTCTCGGGCAGTTTACTTCTCTCCGCCTCGGGTTGCTTATCTTTAAAATGGGTCTGGTAATAATAGTTCCTACTCATAGGGTTGTTACAGGCTTTGAATGAATCAATATGGGTAAAGTCCTTAGGACAATGCCTGACACCTGAACGTTAGCTTTGAAGACTGGTCTCAATTCCTTCTGGGGTTTGATCCATCAGCAACAATCCTGTTGGTCACGGTGAGGGGACTTCCTAGAAGTTATTTTCTGTGGCATTTAGTCTGGGACATGCCTCCTGGAACCTATTACCCAAGGCACTGAGGCTGGGGCCCCAGCTCACTTGGACCTGCTGGCAGCAGCGACACCAAGACCAGGAGGAGGGAGTCGTCCCGCAGTGACACCGAGCCCCGTGGGGGTGGCCCGTGTGCTGCGCTGAGGGGGACGGGACCGCCGGGGGGGCTTATCAAAGCCTGCAAACATTTGGCACAAATGAGCAAGCCTCAGGGAGGAGGGGTGCCTCCTTCCAAGGTGGTGTGTTCTGCACAAAGGGAGGGCAAAGGGGGAGAGATGCCAATCTTGGAGACAGAACGTGTTTCTCCCTAATCCTCCCAAGGTTTAACTTCGGGGAATAAGTGATCTGAATTTCTAAGGATTCTCAAATTTCTTTTGCCCATTAGGAGTTGAAAAGCACATTAAAGATGAAAGTGGTCTCTACTGGGGCTTCCTCTGCCCCATGGCTTGTGTTGAGAAGGCCACACTCATGGGCACCATCACACTTTGGCCAAAAATATACCACTCTCTCCCTCTGTGTGTGTGTGTGTGTGTGTGTGTGTGTGTGTGTGTGAGCAAGAGGATGCAGGTGGGTGGGCCTGGCCTTGGGGTTGGGTCAGCTGCATTCCAGGGTCTGGGACCCATCCTCCTCCCCTTCTGGAGCACTGCTCAGCAGTAACCTCGTGACCAGCCTCCCACCTCCTCTAGCCCACATGCCTCCCCACCAGACAGCATCCATCCTCACAGCTGACCCTGGCCCCCAGCTCCTTCAGCAGGGCCCCCTTACCCACAGAATATTCCAGATGCATTGTGCCGTCAGAGCCTTCCTCCCTGTACCCCGACTCCCTTCTGTCCTACCTCACCACGGTCTTGGGTGCTGATGCCCCTCAGCGGGTTGCCCCCTTCCCCAGGCAGGCCCTGACCCAGGCTAGTTTGTCCTGCAGGGATGAAGTCTGTCCTCTCTAGGTCTCCCCATCCTTCCCTGGCTGTGAGTCCCGCTCTTCCGCAGGTGGGCACCGGCCCCTTCTCTCTCTCCGTGACTCAGTGTGAGTTGTCTCGTGTTTGCTCACGCCTCCTGACCTGTTTCATCTTCCTTGTTGGCTCAAGGAAAGATTTATTTTTCCATTTTTCTGTCCCTGGCATGGCCTGTGCACCTGGCCTTGCCCTCAGACTGTCACTAGGTTTGATGCCACGAAGAGTAGATCCCGTAGTGAACTTACAGCCTGTTTGCTGACCAGTTCCTTCTGTCCCTCACATGCTGTCCTGTGAGTTGTGAAGGCCCAGGATTCCTGGGAAATGCACAGGTCTATGCCTCAGCTATCTGTCTGTCTATCTATCTATCTAACTATCTAGAAATGTATTTATTTATTTTAGAGGTAGCGTGCAAATGAGGGGAGGGACAGAAGTGGGGGGAGAGAGTCCAGCAGACTCCCCACTGAGCACGGAGCCCCATGTCCGGGTGGTGGGGGGGAACACTCAATTCCACAACACGGAGATCAGGACCTGAGCCAAAGTCAAGAGCCAGACCTCCAACCGACGGAGCCCCAGGTGTGTGATTTAGTCACGATTACTCTCCTCGTCCCACAGGACTGCTCTGCTTCATAAAAGGACCCCCCACCCCCAGGGCTGGATCCGTTTGTGAAGTAGGGGAGCTGGCCGCAGAGTCAGGGCTGACTCCGGGTCCTTCCTCTGTGGAGAGGGGCTGTGTGGAGACAAATTTCAAGCTGAGGTGATTCTGCCTGCTGTTGATGAGGGTCACTGAGACCTGCAGACTGGGCCACTCTGAGGCCCTCTCAGGAAGGACACTTGGCCCCGCAGGCAGTCAGGCCCCACACAGCTCTTCGGGACGGCAGCTGTTCAGTGGAGCCCGTCACAGTCCTCGGGGAGGACACGGAGGGACTCAGTCCTCCAGGGTCGGATTGGCTTCGCCTTCCTCCCCAGGGTCTGGGAACTGCTGTCCCCTTGGGGCTCAGCCTGTAACATGGCCGCAGAGCCAGTGGGCTGCTCCCCGTGACTGTTCATTAAAAGTCACCCGGCACCTGCTGGCAGATGGCACAGCAGGGGACACGCGAGCAGAGAGGGCACACGGCAGGGCTGGAGGGCAGAGCAGGCGCTGGAGCCTCAGGTCCCTCCCTGGTCCCACACGGGACTGCAGAAGGGAAGGCGGGTGCTGTACACTTGAATTCACCTGCCAGATCTCCGATCGTTCAGCTGTGGGATTCAGAAGAGGCCTGCTTAGAGCCAGGGAGACTCTCTTCTCTGTGCTCCTTGAAGAAAAAAAGAAAAAAAGAAAGACAAATCCCTGTCCTTTTCTGATAGGTGCCCATAGTCCTGCTCAGGGGGCTTGGACCTCCCTGACCCCCTCTCTGGTGCTAAGCTTCAGGATCAGTATTTTAAATCTCTTTTCCCATAGCAAGGGGCAGGGCCACTGCTCTGCACCACTCTAAGGGGTATCCTTTATTCTGTGTGAAGTCTTCTGAATCAGGACTGTATGTGAAGGGTGCCCGGCTAGAGGTGTGTAAAACCTCAGAGGTGGGGGGAGGTCAGCCTTCCACCCGCTGTCCGCCCAGGAGATGCGGTAATACTGGCGGCTGACAGCAGAGGGCGATGTTGATGTGGGCCAGACAAAGAAAGAAGGATTGTTGGAAGCTTGTACTCTGTGGTTGTCGCATTTTCCTCTCGGAGCTGTTGAATTCTGTCTTGTTCAGTAACTTTGGGTGATTTGGGTTATTCGCTGGTTTTGCCTCTCGGGTCTTTGGCTGCCTTTCTCCAGAGGAAATAAAATTCTGAGACCCAGAGAAGAGGCAGTGAGTTGACTAAGACAGTGGTCCCAAGGCTGTTACAATAGAATCACAAGCTGAGGAGCCAGTAACATCTTGTGTTGCGTTTGCTAATCAGGCCCTTTCTGGACCGTGTGTCCTGCCTGTCTCAGGTACCCCATCTCCTTGCAAGAGACCAGGGCCGGAAGTGGGGACGGTGGTCTGGGAGTAGAGCTTCTGGGTCCCCTCCTCCTGTCTGGCATCTCCTTTCCTCTGGAGCACAGTGAACTGCACAGGTTCTCTGCTCCAGCAACTGGTTCAAGTACTGACTCTGTCAGCATCAGCTGGGTGCCCTTTGGCAAGTTCCTTAACGTCTCTGAACCCCAGTGTCCTCTTCAGAAAAAGCGAGAGTGCTCATGGCGCCTATCAGAACAGCCCTGGACGCAGGAACATTTCATGAAAGGGAGTTATTTTATGAACAGAGTGGTTTGTTGAACCCAGACGGTGCTCAGTTGAATTCCTGTCCTGTCTTGAACTAGCTGTGTGTCAGCAAACAAGTGATTAGGGCTTTCTGAACGTCATTGCCTTATCTGTTCCAAGACGCTCATGGCAACCCACAGAGCTGTTGCGAAACAGGAAGGAAATAGCGTGTAAACCATGTCCAGCTCGATGCTGGCTGCTTGATCAGTGTCTGGATTTCTGGCCCTGACGTGTGGCCACTTGACCTACAGCCCTGGAAGGCCGGGATGTCAGAGCTGTCCCTCGGGGCTAGGTCTGTACTGGCTTCTCCTGGCCTCCCTCCTCCCCCTTCCCAGCTCCCAGCTTGGAGACCTTCCTGTTGAGATGACATTTAACGTCAGAGGTGGGGGAGGGCAGTCTGGCAGAGTTGGGAGGGCACCCTTCAGTGCTCTGGGGCCATAGATGCCATGGGGATTTGCATGAAGGTTTGGGAAACAAACCAGCAGTGATTACAATCTGAAGACAAACACGGCGACAGGGTCACAGAGAGCAGCATTTAGGTAAAGCACAGCTTTCCAGAACATTCCAGGCTTGCGGCACCAGGCCTGTGAGCTCACTTGCCACAGGGGGGCTGCAGGGGAGAGTCGGAGGCAAGTTCTGAGAGTGACTGCCACTCCAGGGGGTTCCAGCGTCTCTGGGGGTGTCTTCCTGCCCCTGAGGCCTCCATCGACGCGGCGGGCAGCGATGGTCATTGCTGGGGACCCCGTGGGAGAGAAGGCTGCTTGTCGGGGGGGCGCTGGGTGGGCTGCTCCCCAGCCAGGCCGGGGGGAGGCACCATTCCTCATGGGCCCCTCCCCCAGCAGTCAATCTGGAGGCAGTGAGCGAGGCTGCCAGCCAAGGGCAGGTGAGCGGCGTCCTTGGAGCCCGGAGATGCTGATTTATCCCCGCAGTTCAGAACAGCCTGTTTCAGCCCTGGCACGCTCTGCATTTGGCCAGGACGCGGGGTGGTCTCACTGGCTCCGGCCTGGTCTTTGCTGGTGACCTTGGCCCCATCACTGCTCTGGTGACCAGGGCCTCCATCCATCAGCTGGGCAGATGCCCCCAGGAAATCAGGTAATGCGGGAAGAGGC